TGTTTTATTTTCTGTTTTGTAAAAAAACATGGCCGCCATGGCTAAAAAATAGAACGTTGGGGTTAAAATTCGTATGACCAAAATTGTCAATTGTCCCCTTAACCCTTTCCCTTTCACACCGGTACAGCTTACCGGTGAAGCAAATTTTAAGATATTTTTTGGGTATTTAGTCTTGTTCCATCGTCATTTGCTGACATACAGATATGGGTAAGGGCTCAAATCAATCCTCAGGATACCAGCAATATGATTGAATGTGCATCAAACTTCTATCATTATCAGTTCATAGTCAATTCGCCTCTTACTGACATGTATTTATTCTGTAAAAACCTTTTTTTTCTTCGAATTTTAAAGAATATTTTCAAAAAGAAGTGCATAGAAAACTATCCTTTTTGGGGGAATTATGACTTTTTTCAATAACTGTGCAGTGAGTTTTTGAAGAATGGTATTAAAATAATAGTTCTAACTTGTACACTAGTTAAAAATGTAATTTTTAGTGTACCAGCGCAAACACAAACTTGAAATGCGCTAAAAATCCGTAGTCATTTCTTAAAGATTTTATCGTAAAAGAGATAAAAATCACTGAAATGTCCTGAATTTGTTTAGCAAAGTTGAAATAGATGTAACAAAACATGGTTTCGTAAGTGTTTGGGTATGATAAAGTTGAAAACACTTTTGTTTAAATGAAGGAAAATGTATATGTCAATGGAAACAATACAGATTAAGAACTGGATTCCTGCTATATTTGCGCAAAAACCATGCATTTGGCCATTTGGCATCAAAATATATTATCTGAACACATAATTTCTAATAGAAAACAAGCTGGGTGAGGATCTTCATATGTTTTTTTTTTCACGTCTTGAGTAGTAGACTTAAGTACTTAAATTTCAATATATTCCTAACGATGCCGGTGGTGCAGGGGTATGCTGAACAAACCCAAGGCGGAAAGATCGCGTGTTCGATTCTCACTGCCGGAGGTTGAAAAATTATTTCCTATATTAAATGTAACTTAACTTAACTTTACTTTCAATTTCAAAAAGAAAAACCAACGAAATACTTATGTTTGTTTTTAAAAGAATGTGTGTGCCAAATTGCCCCCCCCCCCCCCTTTTTGCCCCCATTTACTTCCTCGGGTTCGGTCCAGGGTACGCCACATCAAGTTATCATTAGTAATTCAATGAATTTTCCCTTAGAAAAACAAAATTTAGGTTACTGCTTGACTGAAATCGATTTAGACAAAAAACTAGTGTCCGAGTTTGAAATTGGACGAAAAGAGCGTCTGAAATCAGTTATTTTGAATGTTACGGACATCGAGATTTCAAGGCATATAGCACGCATTTCCTCTTTTAATACCAATGTTATAACTTGTATGTCTTTAACAGACTTGGGGCATTGTGTTTCCACCAAAACCTTACCCTATTAGCGCAACAATATGTCTCTACACGACTTTTGTCCCAAGGATTTCGTATTTTTTCACATTTTCTCCAAAAGTCACGTGACATTTCGAAACATCCCACGTGACCAAAAAAGGAAGAATTATCTTTAAACGTAATTTTCTGAAATATTTGATCAATTATCTTTCATATGAGCCCAACAGGGCATGTGCATGACCATTGGTGCGAATGCAGTATTCAATTGAACTTTGATAGTGTATTTTCGATAAGTAAAGGTCTTAAATGCCTGAAAGGGAAAGGGTTAAGCCAATTAAGCCAATTAACCCTTTCCCTTTCACACCGGTACAGCTTACCGGTGAAGCAAATTTTAAGATATTTTTTGGGCATTTAGTCTTGTTCCATCGTCATTTGCTGACGTACAGATATAGGTAAGGGCTCAAATCAATCCTCAGGATACCAGCAATATGATTGAATGTGCATCAAACTTCTATCATTATCAGTTCATAGTCAATTCGCCTCTTACTGACATGTATTTATTCTGTAAAAACCTTTTTTTTCTTCGAATCTTAAAGAATATTTTCAAAAAGAAGTGCATAGAAAACTATCCTTTTTGGGGGAATTATGACTTTTTTCAATAACTGTGCAGTGAGTTTTTGAAGAATGGTATTAAAATAATAGTTCTAACTTGTACACTAGTTAAAAATGTAATTTTTAGTGTACCAGCGCAAACGCAAACTTGAAATGCGCTAAAAATCCGTAGTCATTTCTTAAAGATTTTATCGTAAAAGAGATAAAAATCACTGAAATGTCCTGAATTTGTTTAGCAAAGTTGAAATAGATGTAACAAAACATGGTTTCGTAAGTGTTTGGGTATGATAAAGTTGAAAACACTTTTGTTTAAATGAAGGAAAATGTATATGTCAATGGAAACAATACAGATTAAGAACTGGATTCCTGCTATATTTGCGCAAAAACCATGCATTTGGCCATTTGGCATCAAAATATATTATCTGAACACATAATTTCTAATAGAAAACAAGCTGGGTGAGGATCTTCATATGTTTTTTTTTCACGTCTTGAGTAGTAGACTTAAGTACTTAAATTTCAATATATTCCTAACGATGCCGGTGGTGCAGGGGTATGCTGAACAAACCCAAGGCGGAAAGATCGCGTGTTCTATTCTCACTGCCGGAGGTTGAAAAATTATTTCCTATATTAAATGTAACTTAACTTAACTTTACTTTCAATTTCAAAAAGAAAAACCAACGAAATACTTATGTTTGTTTTTAAAAGAATGTGTGTGCCAAATTGCCCCCCCCCCCCCCCCCTTTTGCCCCCATTTACTTCCTCGGGTTCGGTCCAGGGTACGCCACATCAAGTTATCATTAGTAATTCAATGAATTTTCCCTTAGAAAAACAAAATTTAGGTTACTGCTTGACTGAAATCGATTTAGACAAAAAACTAGTGTCCGAGTTTGAAATTGGACGAAAAGAGCGTCTGAAATCAGTTATTTTGAATGTTACGGACATCGAGATTTCAAGGCATATAGCACGCATTTCCTCTTTTAATACCAATATTATAACTTGTATGTCTTTAACAGACTTGGGGCATTGTGTTTCCACCAAAACCTTACCCTATTAGCGCAACAATATGTCTCTACACGACTTTTGTCCCAAGGATTTCGTATTTTTTCACATTTTCTCCAAAAGTCACGTGACATTTCGAAACATCCCACGTGACCAAAAAAGGAAGAATTATCTTTAAACGTAATTTTCTGAAATATTTGATCAATTATCTTTTTATATGAGCCCAACATGGCATGTGCATGACCATTGGTGCGAATGCAGTATTCAATTGAACTTTGATAGTGTATTTTCGATAAGTAAAGGTGTAAAATGCCTGAAAGGGAAAGGGTTAAGGAGTTATTGCCTTTTAAAATCAATTTTTCACAATTTGTTCATTTAGTTTGCTTACTTTAAAAATCTTCTCCTTTGAAAATACTGAATCAATTTCAGCCAAACTTGGACTGAATGAGTTTCAGAGTATCTAGTATAAATTTTGTATTTTATTTTCTTGTACGTCAAGAAACATAGCGACTATGGCTAAAATGAAACATAGGGGTAAAATGCATTTCTTTGATTTTGAAGAAAATATGACAGATGCAAAGAACATTTCAATGGAAGTTTTAAGCCATTCATTAATATATATTGAAAAGCAAAAATAATCATTGATGAAAGATTTAAGCAAAAAAATACAGGTGAGCGATTCAGGCTCTTGAGAGCCTCTTGTTTAATTACATACAAAAACAAATAAATTACATCATTATTGAATAGGCAGTTTGCGCGAAATTTTACTCACATGTTATATGGCATAGAAGGAAAAACACATGAAACAATTACTGTGGCGAGGAAACATGTGGTAAAGGTGTCAGACCACCTTTTCACCCAATCAAATTTAGAACATATGTAAAATTAGTCCTTCCCTAAAAAAATATGGTTCTTTTGATGTCACTGTTTTCTTAAACTAACCAAAAAATTTGCAGAAATGAAACTTTTGGTGAAAGAGAAATATATTTCATGATATTTAGTCTATTTTGAGACAAAATCTTCTTGTTCATGAGTTTGCATTAAAAATTTAGGATTAATGCGTTCCATACTATATTTATTAAAGATTTCCAGAAAACCAGGGGCTATTTTTAGTAGCATTTACTTTCGGATTGTTGGTATTTTATTACAAGACTTTAAACGTGAATTGAAAATTGGCATGTAGAAAGGTGATACATGTACATTTCAGGATATACATGCTTTCTATGAAGTTATACTTAATGGTAAAAAAATTAGAAAGCTGTGAAAATTGAAAAATTTGTTGGAATAGATAGGGATTTTGAATGGTAGTCTGACACCTTTAGAGCAAAAAACAGTGAATCACAAAAATCATTTTTTTTCTAAGCTGATCATTCCAAATAAAGGTAGCCAAATTGCATCCATTACAACATTTTTTTTTTTTGGCGAAAAAGCCACATATTGCCAGATTGAAGCCTAAAACCTGAATTTGTGCTTTTTTTTTGCAATTAAACAATGGGAGAAATAAAAACGAATATGAAAAAAACATACTTTAAGAAATGATGCATTTTCTCAATTATGATTATGGTTGATAACACTACTGTTTTCGAACTTGGCAATAACTGCTTCTGAAAAAAATAAAAACAAATAAATAAGAATATAAATTACCTGAAAAAGGACAGAACATTACAAAACATTAGTAAAATATTATTTGTCCCATATTTGGGTATTAAGATTTATGACCAAAGTCACCGTCACACAACTCAAGTGCCAGGTAGTGTGGGTTGTATCACCAGCCTGGTCGAACCGACAACTTGAAAATATGTATTCCCAACTTCTCCATAAAGAATAATGTGTCTGACGAGGGTATTTCTTGATCTTATATGCATTTTCAAAACATTATGTGCAAATTATGGACAAATTTGAAATTTTTCTTAAAATCATTATTTTCATTTGCAAAAGTGGGCCTTTAAGATAGATGTATTAAAGTATTTGACAAGTTTTCACATGGGGCATGATAGTTTATAGCATATTTTTCTTTTGTAGACTGTCATGTCAAAGACATCCCCAGAAGTAACTCCTGACACCCATTTACAGGAACCTGCAGCACCAGTAGTTGAAGGTAATCATCTAAGGTTAATTATTCAGATACCAGCTGAAATGATTTATAATTACTTGTTTCTTATTTATGGAAACCTTGATATCTGCTTATAATGTTATAATGAAAAAAAATGAAAAAAAAAACCAACAAATTGATGGGAAAAGTGAAGTAGGTTATTGATGAAGATTGATTGATTACAGATCACATTAACCTTAAAACCATTCTCATCCAATCTATACTTTCCTCAACCTGTTGAATATATTTTTGATAATCATTCTTACTTGTTCCTCTCACAAGGCATGTGACGTCAATATCATTCCTACTTGTTCCTCTCACAAGGCCAAAATAAAAATATTGTATGTTTTCCCAAACGCGACCGACCCAAAAAAAACCTGCCGACTCAAATTCTTTTTTTGCCGTTTTTTGAAGAATTTTTTTTTTTCGGATTTTTTTCGTGTCCGCTCCGTCATCGTATAAAACTTAATGTTTGTCGTCTTTGCGTTTGAAAGTAACTGTGAATAAGATTAAAAGAAAGCGTGTAAGAGACGCAGTTAGTCGATATTCGATGTTCTCGGTTTTTATCTTCTGATTTAACGAACGTAAAGAAGTAAAACATGTGAAAATGGCAGACAGTTTTTCGTGGCTTTTGATCGTCTCTACAAAGGTTTGACGGGGAAAAAAAAGCAGTCGATTCCGGTTATTTGCATAGCCTATTTGTTAGACAAAATTATGCAATTAAGCGGAGTATGCCAAATTACGGAGTCAAATAACATCGACAGTAAGGAAATCCCTGAAGAAAGATGAACGGCCATAATCCACTTACAGCATGTTGAATGTTTATTTATTCTAATAAAAGTTATAAGTCTAGTGTTATTCATGTTATTGTTTTTTGTATTCTTTTAATAAAGTTAATAAACACATTTTGTTTTAGTTTATTTGCGTACCGACGTTTCCTTTACCTGGGATACAAAATTAGAACAAAGTGTTCTAAAAATAGATTTGTTTCTATGACCCGTATGTACAATGTACATCATTACGCTTTGATTAAAATAAACTGTTCAACTATACTACATAGTTTATTATAATTTTTAACAATAAATGTGTAATGAACTGCCTTTGATGTGCAGTATTTACCGCTTGCACAGTGATGTAACACTGTTTCTTTAACCTCCTTAGTTTCCTATATGCAAAGCAGTAAAGGGGCCCTGTACGGGTTATTTGCTGGACACTAGTGTTGAACGTGTGAAAATATAATAATTAGAAATGAATGCTCTTTTCCAAAAATAATAAAAATAAAAGATTGACGAATAAAATTCTTCAACCATATATAAATGCCCTGTAATGTTTAACATAAATTCAAATCACCCCAAGCCGAATTGCTAGAGTACACATTGGATGGTCTTTCAAAGTAAGTTAGCAGGCGTTAGCACATACTTACAACTTCTCGTCCAATCAAATTGCTTATATTTGCCTTCTAATTTTCATAGTACATACTTTTCCTGTGTACTAAGTAACTACGCATGAATGACCACAAGGGTAAGATTTCATTGTATCGTAATCAAGATATTTAAAACAAAAATTGCCACTGGCTATTTTGAAATAAAATGCTGTGTTCCAAATTAAATTAAATAGTTTGTAATTAGTTTTCACGTTGATTTTTAAATATCCTGCTATTAAAATCTTTGGATCTAAAAAATGTTTTTGACAACTGCAAATTTTATCATTTAAATAAAGGATAATACATATGGTTCTTTATACCTTGATTAGAGTACAACGAAAAGTGTGTACTATGAAACCTTGTGAAGGAAAATTAAAGCAACTTGGTGATAATTTTTTAAACTTTCTTACGGAAGGTGATTTATTTCGTCATGCATTGATTGATAATTTTTATTATTGTTTGCTTAATGTCCAGTGGCAAATATTTCATGCATGTTCAGGACGATGTCATGAATTGAAAAACTGTGATTATGTCTGAAGATAATGTGCCACTTATATATATATATATATATAAACATATTCTGATAAATCTTTTAGTTTTTACTTTGAAATAATAAAAAAAAAAACACAAAACACAAAACCTATAATCTCTGATCTATTGGTAGTTGCTTTTTAATGCCTATCTGCTAGACTATGTCTATGGGGACAAACTATCTATATGTTTCAAATTTATTATAGCTTTAGTTTTACTGTGAAATTAAAAAATGTTTTCAAAACATGTAAAGCTTCCACTGCAATTTAATTATTGCCTGCTTTTGGTCAATTTATTTTGTCATCTTACAATGTAAGAAGAACATGTATAGTAAAACACCGCTTTATATCAGTATACATGTACTTACACTAGCAGCTACCATCTTTTCATTCTGGAGTGAAGGGCCTTTGGAAATCACATATTTTACAATGATACTAGTGAGTAGATTTACAAAACTTCGTTAATGAGCTCCGTTTTACAAACACCTGTGATACAAGTAGTCAGCCAAAATAAACTATCTATAGACCCAATTAAAAGATTACTCGAGTTGTAAATATGTGCTAAATTGGATAGTCTATGAAAAGGTATATACTATGAAATTAAGAGCTCGGGGCAAGCCCCTCGCTCTAAATTTCATAGTATATACCTTTCCATAGACTAACCTAGACTTATTGTTTTTAAAATCCAATCAATAATTAACACCTTTTGGGATAGAATGGTCATGTTTTTACAATTACCTGTTTGACATTTTATGACCTCGAGGTTTAAAATAGAACATGGGAAACTTCACCTGTGTAAACATCGAGGGTTATTTAAAGTAAAACTCCATCATCAGTTTGATCATATAAACACAAAAGAAACTGTTTTAAAACTTTATTTTTTATTTAATATTTTCATGCAAATTCTGATAAAAAAAAAGAATTTGCCTACCTACCTACCCACACCCAGTCATCATGGGTCGGGTTTGGGCAAACTGAAATATTTTTAATTGTGGCCCAAGGCATGTCACGTCAATATCATTCCTACTTGTTCCTTTCACAAGGCATATGACGTCAATATCATTCTTACTTGTTCCTCTCACAAGGCATGTTACATCAATATCATTCTTACTTGTTCCTCTCACAAGGCATGTGACGTCAATATCATTCCTACTTGTTCCTCTCACAAGGCATGTGACGTCAATATCATTCTTACTTGTTCCTCTCATAAGGCATGTGACGTCAATATCATTCTTACTTGTTCCTCTCACAAGGCATGTGACGTCAATATCATTCTTACTTGTTCCTTTCACAAGGCATGTGACGTCAATATCATTCTTACTTGTTCCTCTCACAAGGCATGTGACGTCAATATCATTCCTACTTGTTCCTCTCACAAGGTATGTGACGTCAATATCATTCTTACTTGTTTCTTACACAAGGCATGTGGCGTCAATATCATTCTTACTTGTTCCTCACACAAGGCATGTGGCAGTAACATTATTTACTTTACTTCTTCACATTATTCACATCCAATTTAACGAAATATATATATAACTATAGAATAATGTCTATCAAGAATTGATGTTTTTGGATGAACATATGATTGTTTATATTATCATGCACTGATCGTAAATAAGGTATAAGTCATATTATTTTGATAAATGCAATAAGATATTGGACAGTATGCTTTCATTTCTTTGCCTTAGAGAGATACGAAGATTTGTTTCCCCAAGTATATTTATACTTTCCTGAGAGTATCGCCACAGTGGGATATAACGGTTCTGCCTAAACAATGAAAATGGATGTTTTATTGGTCCGCCTACAATAGTAGAGAGTCATGATGTTTTCTTGTTTGTGTGTCTATCTCCGTATCAAGTTAACGTTTTGAAAAAAACGTGTACTTTGTGGTCACATCAACTTGAAACTTAGTTATTATATATAACTCAAGCAATTAAATATTTAATTAAAATTGTGAGTGGAAATGGGGAATGCGTCAAAGAGACATCAACCAGACCAAAAAGCATTAAACAGCTCAAGGCAACCCATGGGTCTATAACACAGCGAGAAAATCCCGCACCAAGAGGCTGCTTTCGCTGGCCCTAAACTATAATGTATACAAGTTCAGCTAAATTGGATGTCACACTAAAATTAACTATCAGTATTCACAAAGAGTGGAATAATAAAAGGAATTAAATAAATGGACAGCATATCACGAAATTACGTATTGAAATGTTTCTTTGCAAGTACAAACTGATGGACGCCACTAGTGGATGAATAATTGTTCTCATTGATATTTGGTGAGATTTGTGCTCTATCTGCAGTTTTATGTTAAATGTTTTTAATGGACTTTTGTTTGTCTTTTTATGTCAACTCTGACGAGACTAGGGGGAAAATGAATTGCTGAAATCCAGCCATCCGCTCAACTGGATTATACAGAACAAGTAGTTTTTGGCATATTAGTACATTGACACATAGACGGATAGACACATTAACCAGTTAACCTATTAACAAATCAACATATTAATCAATTGACATATTGACACATTGACAGATCATCATATCAAAATTGAGGTATCAAAAGAGTATCAAATTAAAACATTGACGCATAGAAATATCGACACATTGACCAGTTGACAAATTAACAAATTGACATATTAAAATATTGACAGTTCAAAAGCTTTTTACACATCGACACATTGAGAGATCTACAAATTGACATATCGACAAATTGACAGATCAACACATTAACAGACTCATATACTGACACATTGACATATCCACAAATTCACAGATCAACACAATAACAGACTCATACATCGACACATAAACAAATTGACACACTGACAGATCAACACCTTTACAAATTCATACATCAGCACATTGACATATCGACAAACTGACATCAACACATTAACAGATTCATACATCAACACATTGACATATCGACACACTAACAATTTAAAAGAATAACAGACTCATACATCGACTCATTGACATATCGACACACTGACAGATCAACACATTAACAGATGCATTTATCAACACATGGATATATCGACACACTGACATATCAACACATTAACAGATTCATAAATCAACACATTGACATGTCAACATACTGACAGATTCATACATCGACTCATTGACATATTGACACTGACAGATTCATACATCGACTCATTGACATATTGACACACTGACAGATCAACACATTAACAGGCTCATACATCAACACACTGACAGATCCACATATTAACAGATTCATAAATCAACACATTGACAGATTCATATACGACTCATTGACATATTGACACACTGACAGATTCATACATCGACTCATTGACATATTGACACACTGACAAATCGACATATTACCAGACTCAGACATCAACATATATCGAAACACTTACAGATTAACATATTACCAGACTCAAACATCAACACATTGACATATCGACACACTGACAAATCAACACATTGACATATCGACACACTGACAGATGAACACATTAACAGACTCATACATTAACACATTGACATATCGACACACTGACAGATGAACACATTAACAGACTCATATATCAACACAGTAACAGATTCATAAATCAACACATTGACATGTCTAACAGACTCAAACATCAACACATTTACATATCGATACACTGACAGATCAACACATTAACAAACTCAAACATTAACGCATTGACATATCAACACACTGACATTTCAACACATTAACAGACTCATACATTGACACATTGACATATTGACACACTGACAGATTCATTCATCGACTCATTGACATATTGACACACTGACAAATCAACATATTACCAGACTCAGACATCATCATATATCGAAACACTTACAGATTAACATATTACCAGACTCAAACATCAACACATTGACAGATCAACACTTTAACACACATACATCATCACGATGATAGATCAATACATCAACAGGCTCATACATCAACACATTGAAATATCGAAACACTGACAGATGAACAATTTAACAGAATTGATACATCAACACATTGCAATATTGACATACTGACAGATGAACACATTAACAGACTCATATATCAACACACTGACAAATCAACACATTAACAGATTCATAAATCAACACATTGACATGTCGACACACTGACAGATCAACACATTGACATATTGTTACATTAATAGACTCAAACATCAACACATTGACATATCGGTATACTGACAGATCAACACGTTAACAAAATCAAACATTAACACATTGACATATCGACACACTGACAGATAAACACATTGACATATTGACACATTGACAGATTTACACATTAACAGACTCAAACATCAACACATTGAAGTATCAATTCACCAACAGATCTGTTGAAACAAAACATTTTTCAAGATGAAAAAAATTTATCTTTGACAGTGTCCAGTGTCAGAGACAAAAAGTGGAGAAATTATCTACAATTATGTGTAAGCATACATTTTTTTTTTCACAAACATGATGAAATTTAAACTTTCAAACTTTTTTTTTCAGATTCCATCGGTAAAGGGCAACAGTCTGCTATGTTAAATCGTTTATTAGGGAAGGGCAGCTATGAATCATTTGATATGAGATGCATGGTAACCGGCCAATTTTCAGTAGGGAAATCGACTCTTGTGAAGCTGTTAGCTGGGGATGTCATACCAGATGGGCGACATCCGACTGATGGAATTTCTTTGGTTGAAGGTCGCTGTGGCCTTGATATTGAGACAAAAAGTTGGATTCTTATTGATCCAGGTTAGAAAAGGCATAAGTAGAAACATCTGACCATATTTCAAAAAACACTGTTGTGTGGACCGCTGTGTTTTATCAGCAGACTTTAATAGCATTGTTTTAAATAGTATCACATTGAAGCCATATATTTTGTTACTTCTTTTCAGGCACCAATTTAATTCAAGGTGTAATACCACCATTGATTTTCCTCTATTAATCCATGTTAAATTTGCACTTTTCAAAAAATTTTGCAGAATTTATCTTTGTGTCAAATACATAAATACTTGGCATGAGTAAAGTTTTATCCTGTCCAGTACTATAGACAAAATTTCACATAACATTTCAATGCATATAAGAAAATAACCATCACTGGAAGTTAACCAATCAAATTTTCACCCCTTTTTTTTCAGTGTTCATGTAACAATGTAACCTCAATTTTCCAAAATTTCTATAGAAACACCAAATAAAAAAATAATGGTGCTTTGAAACACCCAAGATATATGTTTATGACATAGAAATTTTTTACTGCAATGAAATGTAGGATTTATTTCCTACAACTGTCAAATTCAAGGGAATAATTTTTTTTCGACCCTTTTTCGTATGCAACCGGATGTGACGTACTATGATTTGGTGGTATTATACCTCAATATTGAATCTTATTTGTGAATGAAAATCTCAACATTATTATTTTACTTTTTAAAAGGAATCTTAAAGTCATATGAAACTTCAAAATTAAAAAAAAGTTAAACATGTTTTATATACTTAAATGGCTAAGTTTTACTCTAAAAGAAGTGAACGTGAACTGTTTTTTTCGAAAAAAAATCCTTTATATTAGCCAAATCTTCATAAATGTACAAATATTGAATTATTGGCTTCCCAGACACTACTTCGCCGACATTTTCCTGTATGCAGTGACCTTAACTGCAAGACCTCTCGTTATAGCTTCGGCCACTGCACAGCTCAAGTGTGAGGGGAAAACCGTGATGAAAGAATGTAAACACACGTGCCCTTGAAGGTAAATAAAAATAACAGGTTCTTAAAGAACAAATTTAATACAACAAATCATTTAACAACTGTCAAGGCTCCTTTAATTCACTTATATGTTGCGTTTTTCACATGCTCTGTTTTTATTGTTTATCAATATCAAGATCTGGTAAACTAATAAAATATAATTTCAGAAGCTTATAATGCCCTGGATGTTGTGTACAATAAGGTGTTAATGACCTCTCTGGAAGAGGAGGAAAGTGAATTAACCAAAAAGTTCGACCAGGCTTCAGATACAAGCCCAACTGGTTATGCCAAAGCCACACTTTCCTCTTTGCCCTCCGAACAGTCGGCAGCAGCACAATCTCTACCACCTCAAAAATCCTCCAATGTGCCTCTCATGGTAAAACAGATGAAAGAGAAAATGAAAACCAGAATGACCAAAGAAGAAATAAGAAGGAAAATGGAAAAAGTCCTCAAAAGTGGGAAGTATAAGATGAAAGTTGGACGTCTTATCTTCTGGGATTTTGGTGGACAATACGTTTATTTAACAACACACCAGACCTTCATGACGTTCCGAGCGTTATTTCTTGTTGTCTTCGATGGGAGCAAAGATTTGCATGAACAGGTCCCTGATGTGATGTGTTTTCCAGGGCAGCACATGACACCAACTCCAGCAGGTAATACAAATACATGTTATTTACAGATCTAGTCTATTTATGTAACAGCAAGGCAATTATTTAAAATTATAGAAACTTGTCCTTTCAAAATATCTTAGCAAACCTAAACATTTACGTAATTTATTTCCTTGTTACCATAGTTTGCCCCAACCACCATATTAACATTAATACGTCTCGCATCTAGCAGCATTGGTGTTAGGTAAGACAATAATATTGCATTCAAAATTTATCAAAGATACCAGGCGTAAAGTTTTGAACACCAGACAACTCTGTTGTGCTTTCCTCTAAATTTCTTTAGATTTTGAAAGTGTGTTTAATTCTCTGAAAAAATAAGCTGATGATTTCTAACTTCTAACTATCATAAGCATACACAGTGTATGCTACGGCGGGGGCATTAAGTTTTATCTTGTCCGTCCGTCTGTACGTCTCAAAGTTGGTTTCCGTTCTTTAACTTTAGTTTGCCTCAACCAAATGTTATGAAACTTATACACAATGCTTATTACCACAAAACATACCTGTCAACCTATGAAAATGACCTGCATTGAAGAATAAAATCTCAGGTCATTACGCGTACAAACCTTTTTCCAGCTGAATTTAAGTATTTAGGGGATATTTTTTTTATATATTTGTTATTATATTTCAAAACAAACAGTTTCTAAACATGTTCCAATAATTAAGTATTAACTGAAAATAATTTAAAGCTATTATTGTTGAATTGCACTTATGATTTTGATGGATTAATGTTACATAAAATACTTAAACAATACAATCCAAACCATAACCATTTTTTTATTATAATCAATTGACCAGTCATATGTCACTCAGTGTGCTTCTATCTGTACAGCTTTAAACATTTACTCAAATATATATGGAAGTTTTTAACGACCTTGACTGGCTATACAGCCCTTTCACGGTCATTACTCAAAAAAAATTGATGTTAGAATATAATAAAATAAGCTAAACACTTAAAAGTAGTGATGAAAAAAATGATTTTCAACTATTTATTTTCTAATTGTACTAAGGTAGAAAAATAATGAAAAGTAATATTCGAATATGTATTTGCATTCAATTTGTTTTAGATTTAATCTTTTTTCAAAAATTAACATAAATTGACAAAAAAGGGGAAGTTACTGAAATTTTTTGTTAAAAAACTTTGAAATACACAAATTGTTTATGACTTAAAACTAAGGTAATTGGTGTTAATTAACAGTGTGTTTGACACCGAAGCTGTCAAGTGAAGCCATGCACTGAAATGGGTCACTTAATTTGAGTTTACACAGCTAGTTGAACTTCTTGTCCAGGAAGAATTACGAATTTGACGGTATTTCAAAGGAAAATCACTTATGAAATCAATCTGAAGGATTAAGAATCCGGGTAAAAACGGATCATTTTCGGAATTCCCGGGTTATTTAACGACCCAGCGGGTATCCGGGGTGACCCCTCAGAGTTGTAAAAATCTTGGGTCACACCCGCAGGATACAGGTCAAATGACAGGTATGACTAAATACAGATAAAGTTTGAATTTTGTTTAATGTTTGAATGTCAACATACTGAACTGAGCACATTTATATACACCTGTCTTTGGAACGTCATAGCCAAATTATGTTTTACGGCATCTGGGCCCATTTTGTCAGACGTTGTCACATATACACCTGTCTTAGACAGAACATATGGAAAGCCAACGGGGTCAAAATTCTTACTACTTAACTTGTCAATTTGTAACTTGTAACTGTGTGATTTCTAAATTGTTTATTGGTAAATTATCAATTTGTATATTTATGTTTTGTAACTTATCGATTCGTTAAATGTCGATTTGTAAATTGTCAATTTGTATATTGATGTTTTGTAACTTGTCGATTCGTTAAATGTCGATTCGCAAAATTTCAATTTGTATATTGATGTTTTGTAACTTGTCGTTTCGTTAAATGTCGATTTGTAAATTGTCATTGTTGTATTATGCTAACGATCATTATGATGACAGATGGCACTCGGTTTCTTCTTCGGTGAATCAGCCTTCTGTAAGTAGGAGCACCTCCATATGGAATATATACCCAAGTAATTTAAATCAATTATGTACAGCAAATGCATCTCAAAGAACACAAATAGAATAATAACATTTTTATATGGCATGTATACAGAAACCCGTTTTTTGTTTTGTTTTCTGAAGACAAAAGGTGGCGTATCGTTCGAGAACGGAAACCATATGAAAAATACAACCCAAATAGTTCATTCCCTTCACGTAATTAATCGATCTCTCCTACTTGCGAGGTTAATGAAGTAGTCGTAGATTAGCGGAACATTGCGACTGAATTATTCCGGTAAATAGATATAAGATGTGGTAATAAACAGTATGATTGTCAATGAGACAATTATCCAACAAAGTTCAAATACAGTTGATGTAAGCAATTATAGGCAACAATGAGAAAAACCCAATCAATATAGTCGGATATAAAAGGCTACACCAGTACGTGAAAATCCAGGTAATAAACGGTTTCTATTAATCCTAAAATGCTATTATCGGACTATTTTAATTCTGACAGAGGTCTCAAGGGGAAGGGGGGACATATATATATAATTTTATATAATGTTGTTTGTGCTGTATTTAGACCCCTCTATAACAAAATATGTTTTACATGCACACGTATAAAATTGAGGTTTTTATCCAACGCAATCATAGGTTTGGACGTTGTTTTCAATTTAGACGTGTTTAATGTTATATATATATATTAACATTCATTTGTACATGCCTACTAAACTTTTCTGGTCAAGAAGCTAAGAAGTTATTGACGGTGACGAGAGCAGTATCTGAAGCTGTCAACGTTCAGTGTGCGCACTAAAGTGTCTTCAAGGAGGTATCAATCGATTACCGTTTTTACGAAAAATGAGTTGGAATGTGGGATTGATCGTTAAAATCTCAAAACACTTTGTGTAGTTTTTGATCTGTTTTTTCACATAGCAAGAACCAGCCCCTCAACCACCTCGTACGGAAATATTCGCTTATGGCTTAAGTGTTTTGTCTGTTTGTCTTTGAAGAGCGTGTTTGATACGCAACCATCTTCTCTGGATTTGTAGCCTCCTCGTTATATATCTTGCAGCTTGTCGCTGTATCCTTTCAAGCTTGTTGATGTTCGTAGATGTGTAGGGGTCCCATATACTATTGTTTCATACTCCCAATATTGACAAGTGAAATATATGCGGTTTTCTTGCATTCGGCTGGTGGGCAATATCTCAAATTCCTTATCAGGAACCCTAGTCACGGTTGAGTTTGCATTCTTGGTTACGATGAAAATATGGGTAGTCCATTTTAGGTCTTTGATAAGTTTTTTGTTTCCTTTAGATTTTATTACAAAATATTACATATCTAATACAGTTTTAATATATAGTATACATCAATTAAGTGACTCATTTAAAATAACACTTCATTCAATATTTGTTTTGCAAAGTACATGATATAAAACATTTTTATCATCTTTACTCAAGAGCCAAATAAATAAAGATTTTTCATTAATTTCAGCGCTTTTTGTATTAAAAAATCATTAGATATAAATTACATTCTTTTCCAATATCTTAATTATAATATTAAGGAATAATGGCCATGGTGTCAACCCATTTCTCCCATCATACATTTAGTCCAAAATTTGCGGCCCCGAACAATATAAGTATGAACTTTTCAGCTTAGTCTTTTATTTCATGTATTTAGTCTAATTTTGACCCGGTCAAATATTAAAAAGAAATTTCCTGCCAAGTGACAGTAACATATTTGCGAAGTTGATAAGTGAGCCCATTCCAGCGACACATCAGTATATACCTAAATACAGGAAGTGACACACCCCTCCCAGGTGTGTTGACCAGTCCGGAAGACAAACATGTTTATTCGAGGTCACCTCTATATAAAACCGAGTCCCTGGTATATATGCCATATAAACCAAACAATGTGTTTATCTATTTATTTTCTTTTATTTGTATATGCTGTACATAATTGATTTATAAAATTACTTAGGTATATACTCCACATGGAAGTGCTCCTACTTACAGGAGGCTTATACACCGAAGAGGAAACCAAGCGCCATCTGTCGTCATAATGGTCGTTAGCATAATACAACTATCAGAATGACAATTAACAAATCGACATTTAACGAATCGACAAGTTACAAAACATCAACATACAATTTGACAATTTACAAATCAACATTTAACAAATCGACAAGTTACAAAACATCAATTATATACAAATTGACAATTTACAAATCGACATTTAAGGAATCGACAAGTTATAAAACATCAACATACAAATTGACAATTTACAAATCGACATTTAACGAATCGACAAGTTATAAAACATCAATTATATACAAATTGACAATTTACAAATCGACATTTAACGAATCGACAAGTTACAAAACAACAATATACAAATTGACAATTTACGAATCGACATTTAACGAATCGACAAGTTACAAAACATCAATATACAAATTGACAATTTACGATAAAGAATTTTGAAATCACACAGTTACAAGTTACAAATTAACAATTTACGAATTACGAATTTTCAAATAACAAAGATACAAGTTACAAATTGACAATTTACGAAGTAAGAATTTTGAAATTACAAAGATACAAGTTTATACAAATTGACAAGTTACGAAATAAGAATTTTGACCCCGTTGGCTTTCCATAAGAACATAGCATATGGTATGTTGTAGTCTGTCGGTCTATCCATCAACATTTCATACAAAAAGTAAAATGTGCTTTAATCAGTTCTTATTTTAACCTAAGTTTGGATTGAAGGAATAAAGGTCCTTACTGATTTACACGATTTTCAAATTTTATCATATCAGAGTTATGTTTACTACAAATTGGACATTTTCATGCCCCCGCCATAGCAGAGGGGGCATTAAGTTTTACCCTTGTCCGTCTGTACATCCGTCCGTCCTTCGTCCGTACGTCGTAAAGTTGGTTTCAGTTCTCTAACTTTAGTTTGCCTCAACCAAATGTTATGAAACTGATACAGAATGATAATTACCACAAAACACAGATTGAGTTTGAATTTTGGTGGCATCACTATAACTGTTCTAGAGTTATGACTCTTTTCAAATTGTTGAATTTTTCGTTTCCTTTCTCTAACTTTAGTTTGCCTCAAACAAATGTTATAAAACTTATACACAATGCTAATTACCACAGAATACAGATCAAGTTGGAAACTGGGTGGCGTCGCTTTTACCATTCTTGAGTTATGCTCTTTTATAAACATAAAAATTGCTGAATTTTTCGTTTATGTTCTCTAACTTTAGTTTGCCTCAACCAAATGTTATGATCTTATACACAATGCTTATTACCACATAATACAGATCAAGTTGGAAATTGGGTGGCGTTTATTTTACTGTTATTGAGTTATGCCCCTTTATAAAATTAAAAATTGCTGAAATTTTCTATCCGTTCTCTAACTCTAGTTTGCCTCAATTAAAATGTTATGAAACTTATTCACAATGCTTATTACCACAAAATACAGATCAAATTTGAATTTTGATGGTTTCACTTTTACAGTTCTTCAGTTATGTACCTTTATAACTGTATATGATATGCAAGCGGGGGCATAACTTGTGTCCCATGGATACATTCCCCATTTATTTTTTCAAATGTTGTACAAATACTCAAACATTATCACAGAACTAGAGTTGATAAAAGAAACTCCATTTCAGTGTTCATCATTTTCACTTTTGTCATTTCAGTGATGGGATTTTATTCCTAAAACATTTAACATTTTGCACAAGTATACCATAACCTTGACCCCTGTTGTGTTCACTTATCGCTACACTAACAACAGGTACAACCTGAATCCAGCGGTCAGCATTGGGTCTGCGTGATTTAATAATTTAGATGAGACAAGTGCATCATATGATGTGTTTATTATGTAATTAATATACTGACAAGAACTCAAAAGAGAAATCAGCACATTCCTATACCTATTGAGTTCTCAAGGCAATGAAAGATACCGGCTCAGTTTGTCAAGAATATGATAACACTCTCGTGGGGCATTTATCTGCGCTGCCACCATGGAGTTAATTAACAGTTATTTATTTAATTTGCGGCATTGCATTATTATCATTTGAGGTCAAGTTGTTAAAAGTTCCTGTCAATATAGTTGGTCAATTTCGTAGCAAATCTTTGAATGTGTAAGGCTCGTCCAATTAATGCCAAGGTGACAATGGCTCCAACTCATTCCTTTGGTGCAGATATTTAGATGGAATGGCAGACCAGTTTACACATACCACATACTAAGTCTAGTATTCTTAGATTGATTTCCACAACAGTCAGGATTCTACTTTATGATCCTTATATGCAACTTATATTTTAAAAGACAATTTTAACTTCTAGTTATTGAGCATCATTCAATGTACTTTTATGCATTTAGTCAACTTCAACTGTGGTGTGAAATATTAGTTTGTAAACATTTTAATTGTATGCAGGTCTCTATGCATTGTTAACCTATTTTCTATGTGCCTTCCTTTGATATCATCCACCCTGTAATGAAATAGACTGATGAAAAATTACAACAATGTAGTTTATAGATATAGACAAAAATATTTGTCCCTTTTAATTTAGACAGACTCCTACCTCAAGGAAAACTGTTATCAGCTGTTTAAGTGAATGAGCTTGACAAGTATTCAGCAATATTTTTTAGTCCCCTACCAACGAAGTCGAAGGGGACTTTAGGTTTGCACTCGGTCCATCTGTCTGTCTGTTCATCCGTCAGTCCAGCAAATCAGTTTTCCACACCATTTTTCTTCATGCTTGAAGATATTGTTTTGATATTTGATATATTGTTTTATCATTACAAGTTACAGATCAAAATCGAATTTTGTTCCCTTCTGATAATTTTGTGCAGAGTTATGGTCCTTTGACCTAGAAAATTCACTTAAATAAACAGTTTTCCACACATTTTTTCAGCATGCATGAAGATATTGACTTGATATTTGTTATATACTTTACACCATGACAAGTTATAGATCGAATTACCATTTTGTTCCAGTCCAAAATAATGTTTAACCGGTGGGGGATTATGTATTGCCATGCAATAATCTCAGAATGCTTGTTTAATAAGGTGTTATTAAAAGAGACAATGGAAAACTTATAGTGTATCAAAACTATAAGAAATGCAGAATGATTAAACTTCTTTTATGACAGATTTTGATTTTTTTTCAGTATTCTTGCAATATTGGGTCAATTCCATCCTGACCTATTGCAAGGTTGTATATCCAGGCATTCCTAAGATCTTGTTTGTTGCCACTCACAAGGACAAAGTACCAAAGGTGAGTGATCTAATGTTAGCTATATAATAGTGATTTATTGCCATTTGAAACACTTGAAAAATGTGTAAAAACTGCCTCATTAGAGCTTTTATGCTTACATAATGATGTCATGCCCATATGTCTTAACTTGACCAAACTTTGTGTGAAACTACACTTTTGAAAGAACAAGATCCCTATTGATTTTGGGTAATACACTAAAGATCAGATTATGGGTCATAAATAGAGTAGAAGATAATTATGAAGAACTACTAATAGATAAGTAAATGATATTTGGTATGCTCTTGTATCAATATTCCATTTGATATGTACATCTCATTTCAGTGGAGATTATTTGGTCCTGCCACTCTCAGTCATGGTCTATTGACTTAAAACAATTGCTCATTTTAAATGTTAAAGTTTGTATTTAAGTCAGTTTTATTTCACCAAATATGTTGTCAATAAGAAACTCTAGCATTTAGTAGAACTGCACCAGATGCACTTCTCAACAAGTAATGTCTCTTCAGTGATGTTAGAGGCCAAAATATTTGAAAGTCTAAAGCATAATACAAATGTTGATGAGTTGGTGAAATCAAAAAGTATATATAGCCTAATCTGGACAAGGAATGCATGAGGACAATTCATGCTTTATTTTAGAATAAGTTCAATTTTTTATAACTGCAAATTTAAATTAAACAATATCCATATGTTCACGCAAATACCCTCTTGACCTGTTTTAGATTTATTGCCAACTTTTTAAATGTGACTTATTTTGTTTACTAGTGTTTCTATACTAGGCTGGTAAAGTGAATTACAAAAACAAATATCAATAGCAAGTTCTTCTTTCAAAAAAAATAAATTCTAAAGACCCTTTTCAATTTATTCCCCTTGGAATGTAAGATTTAACAACTGTTAACAGTTTCGGACTGTTAAAAGTATAAGATTTAGGTTAAAAGTATAAAATTGACCTGTAAGAGTAGATGTAGAAAAATACATAAGAAAGATAAGTTGTACTTGAGGTACATGTATTTATGTCATTTGAAAATTTGAGATAAATCTAATTATATCTTGTAGTTGGAATATTCCACCATTGAAGGTGCATATACATCATGGTGTGGGATACAGGATCTTTACAGTGTATTTATCTGTCAACTTTTTATGTTTAACAGGAGAATGTTGAGACACGACGTGAAGAGCTTTACAGTGAAATTGAGGAGTTGTTTAAAGACCATGAGGGACAACATCATCTGGTCTTTAGGCCTCTAATATTTGTCAATGCAAAAGATCAAGCTGACCAAGAAATAGATGTTCTGAGGAAAACAATTACAGAACTTACATTCGACCACCCATGTTGGGGTGAAAGAATGCCCAATGCTTGTGTACCACTAGAGCTCGAGATCGCTGAATTAGTGGCAGAAGGAAAACAAATTATGTCATTGGCTGAAATTAAAGAATTAAATGCCATCAGCGAGGTGTCTGTCCTGTCTCCTGAGCAGCTAACAGTTTTTTTACGTTATCAACACTCTCTCGGAAAGATTGTTTATTTTGACACCCCACAGCTGAGAGATAACGTTATCATAAGTCCCCTTCTTATGGTGGAAGTTATGAGATCTTTCATTACTGGTGTGTTTATATTTTCATTGAGTAGTAATTATATTGCTGGTAAAAACCCAACATACCAAAATATTGTTTACCAGCCATTTTTAAGAGCACTGGGGACTGATGAACGGTGTCCTATACTAATCTTTTTGTTGGTTTGTCAGAACTTTTATGTAATACAGTTAGTCAAAATTGATCTTTTTTTTTTCACAGCGTTAATATTTGTGAATTGCAGACAATTATTTTATTCTGTTGTGAAAATTTGGAGAAGATGGCTGTTTTAACTTAGGGAGCTACCATTTGATTTTTATGGGGGGGCTAGGATGAAATATTTTGTCCTGCCTTTTTTTTTTTAGTTGTAATCTCTGTCCTTTTTTCATTCTAATTGGTCCTGCCTTTTTTTTTATTAGTTTATCCTGACTTTTTTTACATAAATTGTCATCCTGCCTTTTTTTTTTTGCAAAGTTGCGCATCCTGCCTTTTTTTTTTACTCGAAACTCCTGTCCTGCCGTTTTTTTTCAAATTTCATCCTAGCCCCCCCATAAAAATCAAATGGTAGCTCCCTTACGGTTTGTAATGTTTGTAAAAATACAGTTGCAAATTTTGAAAATTTTTTTTTTAGTTTAAACTGAAACTGATATTTAATAGGTATAAAGGTTTAGGTATAACTATAGAACTACATAGTTTCTAAATATAGAATATATTTGAACAATGCATAGAAACTTTGAGAATGCAAGTATTCCTATCCTGGTTTCAATTAAGTACCAACACAATTATGTTTTGAGACAAGGTGTAGTAATATTATTCATACTGCAACTCTTACAACTGTGAAAATGAAGTATTTTTAGCCAGTCAAAAATGCAAATCTTCTCAGTTTCTAGTTGTATTGGGGAAAGAATCTCATCCTAAAATCTGAACCTAAAATACGGAGCATGAATTCCTTGTAAAGTTAATATCATATTTGTCTGTTAGAAATACACTGCCATCAATCCAGTTATCAACTATTGAACTATTATATACCATGACTGGGAAATAAAACAAAGACTTGACCCAGCCAAAGGAATGTATTATTTAGATCAAGTCAAAATCTATTAAAAATACTTTTGAATTAGAATACTATATAGATATAAGAAGATGTGGTATGAGTGCCAATGAGACAACTCTCCATCCAAGTCAAAATTTATAAAAGTAAACCATTATAGGTCAAAGTACGGTCTTCAACACTGAGCCTTGGCTCACACCAAACAGCAAGCTATAAAGGGCCCCAAAAATTACTAGTGTGAAACCATTCAAACGGGAAAACCAACGGTCTAATCTATATAAAAAACGTATACTAGTAGAAGTAGACTTTACCCCGAAAAAATAACTAAAAAAATGAACATAAAGTTAAGATCAAAGACAGCAATTGACTGACAAGATGTCATCCTGGATGACTGTCATACATCATCTTTTGTAACTCTCAAGTGAATCTTGGCATAATATATTGAAGTTAATTTCATAATGTTAACACATCCGTCATCACTTGCATCATTGTTAAACGATTGTTTCTACCCAATATTTTGAATATTTACGAGAACAACCATATATTGTTTTAAAACATATAGTTTTCATCGTGACGTTTTGTAGACCTTTGTTTAGATGATGAATTTGAGAACAAGGGATGAAACCCTTTAAAACTTATGATTGATGACTCTGCTTTCTTTAAACATAATCTCCCCAGCAAAACAAAATTGCAAGAAGAAAATCAGTTTTATAAATTAAGATGGACAACCAACAACTTTACAAATGTTGTTAGGAAATACACTTATCTAAATATACCCAGTGGACTTTCTTCTCGTATTTATTTTTGCATTGTGTTGTCCTTCATTGTCGAGCCTTCGACTTTAGTCAAAAGAGCGAGACATACAGTACTTGCAACCTTAGGCGTTACTGTTTGACGTGAACTTGACTGATCGGTGAATGATCGTGACGGATGTTTGACTGATCGATGACTGATCGGTGATCGATGACCCATAGAATCCGTCAGATACGTCAAATAGGCTATGTGAGAGTTACCGTGACAACGGTCAGCGATCGATCAGTAAATTAATTGAATGCACGGATCGGACGGATACATATATAATTAAAATTCTTATGTATTACGAACTTGACAGTATTTACAGTCGATAAACGCCGACCTCTACGAAGACACCTTTACTCGTTAATTATGTACCACTAAAAAGCGATAAAATGTTATCATTTAAAATAAGTACTCTATTTGTTGTCGTTAGATGAAGAAAATAAAAATAGTATAACAGTAAAGATACATACAGCTTTGTTTGGATTAATTAATTTAGAGTGTTGTTTTAATGTTTGTTCTAGATTACCAATATCAGAGACATATGTATGTCTCTGCCAATATTTCTTCTTCTTATCACATATAATGCAATGTTATTTCTGATTAGTTATTTAAAAGGCCTCAAGAAAAGTTTCTTTGATAGAATTTAAATAAAATGAATATTAAAATACTTAAACTTTAATTTGTGTTGATTAAAGATGCAATCATTTCATTATTTTGTTCTTTTTTGTACATCAGGATTGGTCGTTTTTCATAAAATATGCTGAATTTTAGGAAAAAGATACTAAATTTTTGTTCGAGTTGCTTAAAAATGCAAATATTTCTTCTTTTATATTAGAAATAATACACGTCAATTGCAATCAGTCATAACTAATGCATTCAGATAATTAATTTTGTATAAGATATGAATAATTTAAGGATAAATATACATACACTTTTGTTTTTATTAAATAGGAATTCAATAATTTCTCTTTTTTAATGGAAATTATTGGAACGCCTATCGTTTTTTGTACTTTTTATGGTTCAGGATTGTTTGTTTTTTTATAAAATCAAAATAATATCTGAGAAAATATACTAAAATGTTGTTTGCATTATTTAGAATTACCAATTTTTCTTCTTTTGATAGAAATAATGCAATGTTATTTGTTACAAGTTATTTTAAAGTTCTCCAATAAGATTTTTTTTGTAAGAATTTTGATAATGGAAGGAGAATTTTACTTAATCTTTTGTTTTGTGTTGAATACAAATTAAATAATTTCTTTATTTTGATAGAAATTATGAACCGTCATTTGATTTCGGTACATTTTATACATCAGGATTGGTTGTTTTGCATAAAATATGCTGAATTTTAGGGAAAAGATACTAAATTTTTGTTCGCGTTGCTTAAATTTGCAAATATTTTGTCTTTTATATTAGAAATAATGCAACTTCAATTGCAATCAGTCATAGTTAATGCATTCAGATAAGTACTTTTGTATAAGATATGAATAATTTAAGGATAAATATACATAAACTTCTGTTTTTGTTAAATAAGAATTCAATAATTTCTCTATTTTAATGGAAATTATTGACCTCCTATGGCTTTTTGTACTTTTTATGGTTCAGGATTGGTTGTTTTTTTTCAAATCCAAATAATATCTGAGAAAATATACCTAAATGTTGATTGCATTGATTAAAATTACCAATTTTTCTTTTCTTCTTTTGATAAAAAAATATGCAATGTTATTTGTAACTAATTATTTTAAAGTCCTCCAATAAGATTTTGTTTATTTGTGAGAATTTTGATAATGTAAGGAGAATAATACTTAAACTTTTGTTTTGTGTTGAATACGAATGCAATAATTTCTTTATTTTGACATAAATTATGAACCGTCATTTGATTTAGGTACTTTTTGTACATCATGATTGGTTGTTTTTCATAAAATATGCTGAATTTCAAGGAAAAGATACTAAATTTTTGTTTGCATTGCTTAAAAATGCAAATATTTCTTCTTTGATATCAGAAAAAATGCAACAACAATTGCTATCAGTCATTATAAATGCCTTTAGATAAGTAATTTTGTATAAAATGTGAATAATTGAAGGATAAATATGCATAAACTTTTGTTTTTGTTAGATAAGAAAGCAATAATTTCTTAATTTTGATAGAAATTATGAACCATCATTTGTTTTTGGTTCTTTTTGTACATCAGGATTGGTTGTTTTTCATAAAATATTCTGAATTTCAGGGAAAAGATACTAAATTTTTGTTCATGTTGCTTGAAAATGTAAATATGTCTTCTTTTGTATCAGAGATAATTCAACGTCAATTGTAATGAGTCATAATTAATGCATTAAGATAAGTCCTTTTGTATAAGATATGAATAATTTACTGATAAAAATGATAAATATACATAAACTTTTGTTTTTGTTTGATAAAAATTCAAAATTCCTCTATTTCAATTTTAAATTATTGACTGCCTATGGCTTTTTGTACTTTTTATGGTTTAGGATTGGTTGTTTTTTATAAAATCAAAATAATTTCTTAGAAAATATACTAAAATGTTGTTCACATTGATTAAAATTACCAAGTTTTCTTCTTTTGATAAAAAATAATGCAATGTTGTCTGTAACTTGTTATTTCAAAGTCCTCCAATAAGATTTTTTTTGTAAGAATTTTGATAATGTAAGGAGAATAATACTTAAACTTTTGTTTTGTGTTGAATACGAATGCAATAATTTCTTTATATTGATAGAAATTATGAACCGTCATTTGTTTCGGTACATTTTGTACATCAGGATTGGTTGTTTTTCATAAAGTATGCTGAATTTCAGGGAAAATATACTAAATTTTTGTTCGCATTGCTTGAATATGCAAATAATTCTTCTTTTATATCAGAAATAATGCAACTGCAATTGCAATCAGTCATAGTAAACACATTCAAATAATTACTTTGTATAAGATATGAATAATTTAAGGATAAATATACATACACTTTTGTTTTTATTAAATAAGTGTTCAATAATTTCTCTTTTTTAATGGAAATTATTGGAAAGCCTATGGTTTTTTGTACTTTTTATGGTTCAGGATTGGCTGTTTTTTATAAAATCAAAATAATATCTGAGAAAATATGCTAAAATGTTGTTCGCATTCTTTAAAATTACCAATTTTTCTTCTTTTGATAAAAAATAATGCAATGTTCTTTGTAACTTGTTATTTCAAAGTCCTCAAACTAGATTTTTTTTTTAAGAATTTTGATAATGTAAGTAGAATTATACTTAAACTTTTGTTTTGTGTTGAATACGAATGCAATAATTTCTTTATATTGATAGAAATTATGAACGGTCATTTGTATCAGGATTGGTTGCTTTTCATAAAATATGCTGAATTTCAGGGAAAAGATACTAAATTTTTGTTTGCATTGCTTAAATATGCAAATATTTCTTCTTTTATATCAGAAATAATGCAACTTTAATTGCAATCAGTCATTATAAATGCCTTTAGATAAGTAATTTTGTATAAAATGTGAATCATTGAAGGATAAATATGCATAAACTTTTGTTTTTGTTTGATAAGAATGCAATAATTTCTTTATTTTGATAGAAATTATGAACCGTCATTTGATTTTGGTTCTTTTTGTACATCAGGGTTGGTTTTTGTCGAGCCTGCGACTTTTGTCGCAGAAAGCTCGACATAGGGATAGCAATCTGGCGGCGGCGGCGGCGGCGGCGTTAGCTAACTTCTTAAAAGCTTTATATTTTAGAAGATGGAAGACCTGGATGCTTCATACTTTGTATATGGATGCCTCATGTTACGAAGTTTCCGTCAGTCACATGTCCAATGTCCTTGACCTCATTTTCATGGTTCAGTGACTACTTGAAAAAAAAGTTAAGATTTTTTGTAATGTTAAATTCTCTCTTATTATAAGTAATAGGATAACTATATTTGGTATGTGCGTACCTTGCAAGGTCCTCATGCCCGTCAGACAGTTTTCACTTGACCTCGACCTCATTTCATGGATCAGTGAACAAGGTTAAGTTTTCGTGGTCAAGTCCATATCTCAGATACTATAAGCAATAGGTCAAGTATATTCGGTGTATGGAAGGACTGTAAGGTGTACATGTCCAACTGGCAGGTGTCATCTGACCTTGACCTCATTTTCATGGTTCAGTGGTTATAGTTAAGTTTTTGTGTTTTGGTCTGTTTTTCTTATACTGTATGCAATAGGTCTACTGTATTTGGTGTATGGAATGATTGTAAGGTGTACATGTCTAGCTGGCAGGTGTCATCTGACCTTGACCTCATTTTCATGGTTCAGTGGTCAAAGTTAAGTTTTTGAGTTTTGGTCTTTCTTTCTAATACTGCATGCAATAGGTCAGCTATATTTGGTGTATGGAATGATTGTAAGGTGTACATGTCTAGCTGGCAGGTGTCATCTTACCTTGACCTCATTTTCATGGTTCAGTGGTCAAAGTTAAGTTTTTGAGTTTTGGTCTTTTTTTCTAATACTATATGTAATAGTTCAACTATATTTGGTGTATGGAAATATTTTATGATCTATATGTCAGTCACGCAGGTTTTATTTGACCTTGACCTCATTTTCAAGGTTCATTGCTCGGTGTTAAGTTTTTGTGTTTTTGTCTGTTTTTCTTAAACTATAAGCAATAGGTCAACTATATTTGTTGTATGGAAGAATTGTTAGCTGTACATGCCTGCCTAGCATGGTTCATCTGACCTTGACCTTATTTTCATGGTTCATTGGTCAATGTTTAGTTTACTTGGTTAATGTTAAGTTTATGTGACAGTTGTAATAAAGCTTTATATTTAGGACTATCAACATAATATCAATGATTAGTAAAGAAGGCGAGACATTTCAGCGTGTGCACTCTTGTTTTTCATAAAATATGCTGAATTGCAGGGAAAAGATATTAAATTTGTGTTCTATGCTTAAAAATGCAAATATTTCTTCTTTTATATCAGAAATAATACAACGTCAATTGCAATCAGTCATAAGTAATGCATTCAGATAAGTACTTTTATATAAGATATGAATAATTTAAGGATAAATATACATAAACTTTTGTTTTTTTTAAATAAGAATTCAATAATTTCTCTTTTTTAATGGAAATTATTGAACGCCTATGGTTTTTTGTACTCTTATTGTTCAGGATTTGTTGTATTTCATAAAATATGTTGAATTTAAGGGAAAAGATTCTAAATGTAATGTTCGCATTGCTTAAAAATACAAATATTTCTTCTTTTATATCAGAAATAATGCAACGTCAATTGCTATCAGTCATTATAAATGCCTTTATATAAATTTTTTTTTAATTAAATGTGAATAAATGAAGGATAAATATGCATTAACTTTTGTTTTTGTTGAACAAGAATGCAATAATTTCTTTATTTGAATGGAAATTATTGACTGTCATTAGATGTTTGTACTTTTCATAGTTTAGTATTGGTTTTTTTTCATAAAAGTAAAAGAAGATCATAGAAATTATCCTTAAATGTTGTTTGCATTGTTAAAAATTACCAATTTCTCTTGTTTTGTTAAAAAATAATGCATTGTTATTTGTAACTAGTTATTTCAAAGGCTTCAAGATTATTTTTTTATAAGAATTTTAATATTGTAAGTAGAATAAGGCTGAAACTTTTGTTGGTGTTCAAAATGAATGCAATAATATCTTCATCTTGAGAGAAATAATGAATCACCATTTTATTTCAGTACTTTTTGTACATCAGGATTGGTTGCATTTCATAAAATATGTTGAATTTAAGGAATCAGATACTTAATTTAATATTCGCATTGCATAAAAATACAAATATTTCTTCTTTTATATCAGAAATAGTGCAATGCAATTGCTATCAGTCATTATAAATGCCTTTAGATAAGTAATTTTTAATAAAATATGAATAAAGAAGGATAAATATGCATAAACTTTTGTTTTTGTTGAAATAGAATGCAATAATTCCTTTATTTGAAAGGAAATTATTGAACGTCATTGGATTTTTGTACTTTTTATAGCTTAGGATTGATTATTTTTTATTAAGTTAAGAGACTATCAGAAAAAATATATTATTATGTTTTTCTCCTTGTTTAAAATTACCAATATTTTTTATTTTTATGAGAATTTGCAGCATTTTTATTTTTATTTGTGATTTGTTATTTTAATGGCCTCGAGATAAGTTTGTTTAAAGAATTATATAAGATTTTAAGGATAAAATACTTAAAAATATTTAAAAATAATACATCGAAATTTGGAATAAATGATCATTTCATTTTATTTTCAAGATCATTTTCGGAAAATAATAAAATCACTGAAAATCGCGATAAACACCGTTTTAGAAATGTCCGGGTTTGAAGAAATATAACCTAAATTAAAACAAAAATGGCCATTCTTTAATAGTTATATTTAAATTAAAAAGTTTTATATGCATATTTCTTTTCTTTTTAAATTCTTAAAACTGTGCTAAATAATTAATAAAAAAAGATGCTGATCATTTGTACTTGAATGTTTCGTATTTTCCATGTCGCCATTTTAATCAAATGAAACGAAACTAAGATTTCGTAATTTGTATTAGTTAATCATGTGACGTAGTAGGGTTCAATCCGTCAGAAAGGTCGATCGGTCCGATCCGTCCGATCCGTCAAATACTTTTACTATAAGTCTGACGGATTGGTGACGTGAGTTTGACGCGAACTTGACTGATCGGTGACTGATCGATGACCGCTGATTGATCGCTAAAACAGTAACGCCTAAGGTTGCAAGTACTGTAGCGATCCTACATTCCGTTGTCGTCGTCGTAGTCGTCGGCGGCGTCCACAAATATTCACTCTGTGGTTAAAGTTTTTGAAATTTTAATAACTTTCTTAGACTATCCTGGATTTCTACCAAACTTGGACAGAAGCTTGTTTATGATCACAAGGTAGTATCCAGAAGTAAATTTTGTAAAAATAAAATTCCATTTTTTCCGTATTTTACTTATAAATGGACTTAGTTTTTCTGCCGGGAAATATTACATTCACTCTGTGGTTAAAGTTTTTAAAATTTTAATAACTTTCTTAAACTATCCTGGGTTTGTACCATACTTGGACAGAAGCTTGTTTATGATCATAAGATAGTATCCAGAAGTAAATTTTGTAAAAAAATAAATCCATTTTTTCCTTATTTTACTTATAAATGGACTTAGTTTTTCTTCCAGTTAACATAACATACAGTCTGCAGTTTAAGTTTTTAAAACATTTATTAGATTCATAAACTATCCTGGATTTTTACCAAACTTGGACAGAAGCTACTTACAATCGAAAGATAGTATAGAGAGGAATATTTTTATTATTTTTTTTCCTCATTTTTGTTGAGCCTGCGATTAACAGCAAAAGTAGGCGAGACACTGGGTTGCGTGGAACCCTTACGAATTTTTTTGTTTATGATTGGTGATTTCCCTTAAAGATATAAATAGAAGTAGCATTTTTTTCTTTAAACCATTAAATGACTTAAGTCTTTTTAAATTGTAAAATGAAAAAGATATTTAGCACCTTTGGTCGGTTTGATAACCCATATCTGGCTTCAAATAAACAATCACTCTTACATTAAAACAATGATAATTAAACCCAAAAAAAATCATTTAGAAAAATGCAAAAAGGCTGTAAGGGACTTTATAACTAAATAAATACATTTTTCATCATGAGAAGGAGCAAGATTGAACTAGACATTCAGACCACATTCCACCATGGCCATTTATGTTGCTAGTACAGAAAACATGTACACACATTATTAAAGAAATATGCATGCCTTTTTTGGGGTATTATTTTTCCAAATGGGAAAGTATTCAATTTTGATCATCAAATGCTTTGAATACAGAATTAGGAAAGTTAATTTGTTTTGATATAGGACATTTAATTGAATATTCAAGACTAGTTTGTTTTCCTGTGCTGATCTAGGTGAGCGATATAGCTTTTATAGAGAAGTAATACCGTATAATATAAATATATGTTTGACTTTTATTTCAAACCTTAAGATAATTTTTTTTATTTTCATTTTCATAGATGTTGAATTTTGGCCAAAAGAAGATAAAACAAGGAAAACCTTCAAAAGGATGTCTGAAAATGGAATAATACAAAAAGTAGATCTCTACCAGATTTGGGAGCAAGAAGAATTCCGTCAGATTTTACCATTTAAAGAGTACATATTTGATATGCTGATACACCTTGATATCGTATCTGAACAGCGTAGATATGATACAAAAACAGGAAGTCGGCTACTAGTTGAAAACTTCTTTGTACCAAGTATGCTTACACAAAGAAATGATACAGATTTCTTGTCACAAGAATGTACACCAGAGAGGACTGTTAGTTTGGCTTTTGTTTTTAAAGGAACCATTATACCTCCAGCTTTACCGAATCGTCTCATATGCGCATGTCTCAGTATGTGGACACTAAAAGAATACCGTGGAAGGAAACTTATGTTTTCTGGGTTTGTTGGGTTATCATTTGATAAAGAGCATGATATCGTTGTCTGTGTAGAAGGAAATAAGATCTTATTGTACCTAGTCCACAAGCGCTCCAAGGGCCTGATAGTACCTGAAATAGCCACTAGTGTCAGAGAATGTTTGCATTTAACATTGGAGAGGATTTCAGAATTTTATCAGTCCACTGTCCAAGAAAAATTCAGCGGCCAACTACCATTTCACACTGAGTATTCCTGCTCCAGATTTATCTGTTACTTTCCAGAAGAAAGGATAGCTTTTAAAACTGATGAGTGCATTTGTAACCATGGTGACAACATTAAACTCAACTGGAAGGTTTGGAACCAGGAACAGGTTTGTATATTTACATTTAACATGAAAGTTATTTTCGTATCGTTTAATTTCCTATACCTTAATAAAGAGATGTAGATCTAGATTAACACATTTATTCTAAAACCAGTTGTTGGCATGACACGGGTTATGTTCTTCTCGTATATTTTATGACGGTATAATACTAAAACCCTAACAGGAGAGATTGTGCCTGATATTCATATGATGAAGACATAATCTTTTAATCAGTTTAATTGAGGTCTGGAGCTGGCATGTCAGTAACTGCTAGTAGTCTGTTGTTATTTATGTATTATTGTCATTTTGTTTATTTTTTCTTTTGTTTCCTATTCTGACATTGGACTTGGACTTCTCTTATACTGAGTTTTAAGGTACGTACTGTTGTGCGTTTGTTTTTTCTACATTGGCTAGAGGTATAGGGGGAGGGTTGAGATCTCAAAAAACATGTTTAACCCCGCCGCATTTTTGCGCCTGTCCCAAGTCAGGAGCCTCTGGCCTTTGTTAGTCTTGTATCATTTTTAATTTTAGTCTCCTGTGTATATTTTGGAGTTTAGTATGACGTCCATTATCACTGAACTAGTATACATATTTGTTTAGGGGCTGGTGAAGGACTCCTTCGGGTGCAGGAATTTCTCGCTGCATTGAAGACCCATTGATGGCCTTCGGCTGTTGTCTGCTCTATGGTCGGGTTGTTGTCTCTTTGACACATTCCCCATTTCCATTCTCAATTTTAAGAGTCTTCTTTGTGGATAAGGTCTGTTTTCTTTGTTTTCAAAACAACACAAAATAAGACTGGGATGTACAAATTTAAATCAGAGTTTTAAAAAGGATGAATTCAAATTGTGACCTCTTGGCAAGGTTTGTCTGAGTACCAGAGTTTTAAAAGTAGTTTCTTCAGATACACACACTTTCTTCCATTTCCTACTCTGGAACGCACCTACTACCTACCTTATTGTCATGGTTTACTTCAGTTACACACACTTTCTTTCCTTTCACTACAAAAGTCAAAAAGTCTGAAAAGACCAGTTTTTGTCTGAATTTGCATGAATTTTTTCTCGACATTCTTAATTTGTCTGAATAATTTTTAAAAATTCTCGACATAGTATGAATTTGTCTAATAAGGTTCTTGATTTTTCTTGACAAGTGTCTTGACAGTATGAACATTGTCTTAAAATTTCTCGACACTTCCTGTATCATCTGATAAGAGTCTGGATTAGTCTCGACCAATTCTTGACTGTCTTAAATTTGTCTCGATCTGTCTTGACATATTCTTGACATTCTTAATAATGTCTGAATATGTCTCGACATATTCTTGACATTCTAAATAATGTCTGAATATGTCTCGACACATTCTTGACAGTCTTAAAAATGTCTTGACACTATCTCAACAGTATAAATTTCGCCTGAAATGTGAACAGACTTATTCTGCACTGTTTATGACATTCTATTGCTGTTGTATACTCCTTTTTATTATGGCTAAACTAAACTTTGAAGAATCAAGGATTAATTTGGTATAGTAAGATACCCTTTTGGTGCAACTAAGTTGCAATACCCTGAATAATCCCCCATGTAGTTTAATTTTGATTTATTTTTATTAAACATTTAAGTAATTGTTTTCACTTGGAATATAAGTCAAAGGTATTGACAAACAGCATTTAGATTTTTGCCGTTCGCAAAACTGCAAGTCAAATTTGCTTTACTAAAATAGGTGTCTTGTATCTCTTTTGGACCCCACAATTCATATTTTGGGTCTGTGTAGCTAAAAAAATAGGGGGGGGGGGGCTTTCGTTTAGGTCAAAGAATTTGTTCCCATCTTGATTCAAAAACCTTATTCATTTTTTAGAACAACCCAAAAACATTTTTTATTCAAATTTGAGTGTTGAATTTTATAATTTTTTTATCAAAAATAAATATTTGTGATAACTCCTTCCTGAAAAGAAAAAAATGTTTAGATCTATATTATGCAAGTCTGTGTGAGAACCTTTTCATAAGACCGATGATTTCTATAGAAATCATTGATGGGACCCATTATAAATACATATTTATTATTCCTGGAGTAGATAATAATTTTCTTTTAATCTTTTGGAATTATTCAATTTGTTTTTATGTTAAAATAATTAACTTCATAATTTTGATGAAGAAAATCCATTTCAATTCAAATTTTTTTCATCAAAATGATGATTTTCATTTTCATCTATCAACAAACTTTTTAAATTGTAGTGGCATGGTCGGTCAACTGATAAGTTGTATGGCTGATTACAGGTAAAGCAATAACTTCTATTTGACAGTTGCGTGTACTCTGGGGTGTGGAATACCTTAATTTTATGGGGAACATCCTGTCCATGTGTAATACTTAATATATTCCAACAGATGACATTACACAAATTTTTCTTCTGTTAAATGAATGATTTGTATATCATCATAATTTGCTATTTATATAAACCACATTTTGGTATAATAATTATTTACCATATCAACATTGAATATTATGAATGTAGAATGAAATATGTCTACAGTATGATTGGTTTGAATCATTTAATTTATAAGATTTAGGAATCAAAATTTGTAATTATTTAAAATCCCACATTGAAATTGTTTTATATCAACACACCCACATTTGAATTATTTTATACTTTAGATTTCATAGCCATATTTGCATTTGTAAAAATATTTATATACCCAAATTTTCAATTATTTTACATGCCCAACTTTTATTTTTGTTGTAAAGAAGTGCAACTTGAAACAACAGTATATCATATAAAGAGAAATAAAGATTAAAGTTATATCATGAATATTGGTCATGATTTGTAAAACTCAGAACTGTCAAGTAAATTTAAGACACGATTCAAAATGTTCAGAATATGTCAAGCCATACTGAGAAAAATAAGAATGTCGAGAATATGTCGAGAAATTTCAAGACAGTATTCAAATGTCAAGAATTTGTCAAGAAATTTTAAGACCATATTCAGAATGTCGAGAATATGTCGAGTAAATTTCATACAAATTTAATATAAATGAGAATTTGTCAAGAACAATTAAGACACAAGTCATACTTTTGGAGAATGTCGAGTAAAAGTTCATGCAAATTAAGACAAAAACTGGTCTTTTCAGACTTTTAGACTTTTGTAGTGTTTTCTACTGTGGAACGTACCAACGACTGCCTACCTTATTGCCATAGTGTCAGGGTTTACTTCAGTTACACACACTTTCTTACATTTTCTACTCTGGAATGTTCCAACGACTGCCTACCTTATTTTCATAATGTCAGGGTTCACTGCAGTTACACACACTTTCTTCCATTTCCTACTCTGGAACACACCAACATCTACCTACCTTATTTCCATAGTGTCGGTGTTAACTTCAGTTACACACACTTTCCTCCATTTCCTACTCTGGAATGCACCAACGACTACCTACCTTATTGCCATAGTGTCAGGGTTTACTTCTTTACACACACTCTTCCATTTCCTACTCTGGAACATACCACCAACTACCTACCTTAATGTCATAGTGTCAGGGTTTACTTTAGTTACACACACGTTCTTCCTTTTCCTACTCTAGAAAGCACCAACGACTACATACCTTAATGTCATAGTGTCATGGTTTACTTCAGTTACACAAACTTTCTTCTTTCCTACTCTGGAAATTACCACCGACTACCTACCTTATTGTCATATTGTCATGGTTTACTTGAGTTACACACACTTTCTTCCATTTCCTTCTCTGGAATGTACCTACGACTACCTACCTTATGGTCATATTGTCATGGTTTACTTCAGTTACACGCTTTCTTCCATTTCTTACTCTGGAATGTACCAACGAATACCTACCTTATGGTCATATTGTCATGGTTTACTTCAGTTACACACACTTTCTTCCCTTTCCTACTGTGGAATGTACCAACAAGTGCCTACCTTATTGGCAAGGTTTACTTGAGTTACAACACACACTTTCTCCCATTTTCTACTCTGGAAAGCACCAACTCCTACCTACCTTATTGTCATGGTTTACTTCAGTTTCACACACTTTCTTCCATTTCCTACTCTGGAACGCACCAACTCCTACCTACCTTATTGTCATGGTTTATTTCAGTTACACTTTCTTCCATTTCCTACTCTGTAACGTACTAACGACTGCCTACATTATTTTCATAATGTCAGAGTTCACCACAGTTACACACATTTTCTTCCATTTCCGTCTCTGGAACACACCAACGACTATCTACCTTATTTCCATAGTGTCAGGGTTTACTTCAGTTACACACACTATCTTCCCTTTCCTACTGTGAAATGTACCAAAGACTGCCTACCTTATTGGCAGGGTTTACTTCAGTTACAGCACACACTTTCTCCCATTTTCTACTCTGGAAAGCACCAACTCCTACCTACCTTATTGTCATGGTTTACTTCAGTTTCACACACTTTCTTTCATTTCCTACTCTGGAACGCACCAACTCTTACCTACCTTATTGTCATGGTTTATTTCAGTTACACACACTTTCTTCCATTTCCTACTTTATAACATACTAACAACTGCCTACCTTATTGTCATAGTTTCAGGGTTCACTGCAGTTAAACACACTTTCTTCCATTTCCTACTCTGTAACGTACCAAGGACTGCCTACCTTATTTTCATAGTGTCAGGGGTCACTGCAGTTACACACACTTTCTTCCATTTCCGTCTCTGGAACACACCAACGACTACCTACCATATTTCCATAGTGTCAGGGTTTACTTCAGTTACACACACTTTCTTTCATTTCTGTCTCTGGAACACACCAACAACTACCTACCTTATTTCCATAGTGTCAGGGTTTACTTCAGTTAAACACACTTTTTTCCATTTCCTACTCTGGAATGCAACAAGGACTACCTACCTTATTGCCATAGTGTCAGGGTTGACTTCAGTTACACACACTTTCTTCCAATTCCTACTGTGGAATGTACCAATAACTACCTACCTTATTGTCATTGTGTCAGGGTTTACTTGAGTTGCACACAATTTCT